ATCATCTCTTTACAAACAGTTCTCAAATCTCTTTGTTTGGGTCTAATCTCTCTCCTAAACTCCAGTCTCAAATCTCCAACTGCTTATTAGACATCTTAAACTGGATGTCATGAGACATCCATGAGGCATTTCAACATATCTGAAATTCAACTCATTATCTTTTGCTCAAAACTCTTCCTGCTTCCCAACTTTACTATTACTGTTGAAGGTACCATCATATTTGAGACACCCTAGCTTACAATCTAGGTGACATTTTCAATTCCTCACTCTCTCTTATCCACCATATCTAATTAGTCACCAAGTCTAGTCATTTCTACTTTTCTAACATCTCTTGAATATGCTCCTTCTCTCCTCTAATACTGGCATTGCCACTGTCCTCAATACCTCACTCTATTGCAAAAGCTTACTAGTTGATCTCCCTGTCTCAAATCTCTCCTCATTCTAGTCCATCCTCCATTCAGCTATCAAAGTGATCTTCTTAAAAGCACAGGTCTGATCATGTCACTTATCCCCAATCCTCACTCAATAATCTCCAGTGGCTCTCTATTGCCAAGATCAAATATAAAATTCTGTTTGTCTTTTAAAGGTTTTCTTAATCCTGCCCCTTCCTATCATTTCAGAAGTCTTTTTACATATTATTCATTCCTATATACTTCATAGTCCAGTGACACTGGCCTTTTTGCCATTCCTCACACACTGACACAATCTCCAGACTCTGGACATTTTAGTGTTTGTTTCCCCTTTCTTGGAACTCTCCTTCCTCACCTTTGCCTCCTGGATGCCTTGGCTTTCAAGTCTCAGTTAAATTCTACCTTCTGCAAGAAGCCTTTCTCAAAGAATTTTTACAACCAGTCGCTCTGATAAGGCCTCATTTCTAAAATATATAGAGAATTAAGTCAAACTGATAAGAACACAAGCCATTTCCCAATTGATAAACGGTCAAAGGATGTGAACAGGCAGTTCTCAGATGAAGAAATCAAAGCCATCTATAGTCATATGAAAAAATGCTCTAACTCACTGTTGGTTAGAGAAATGCAAATCAAAACAACTCTGAGGTACCACATCACACTTATCAGATTGGCCAACAAGACAAAACAGGACAATGATAAATGTTGGAGAAGATGTGGGAAAATTGGAACACTAATACGTTGTTGGTGGAGTTGTGAAATGATCCAACCATTTTGGAGAGCAATTTGGAGCTATGCCCAAAGGGTATACCCTTTGACCCAGCAATAGCACTCCTAGGGGTATATCCCAGAGAAATCACACAAATGGGAAAAGGACCCACATGTACAAAAATATTCATAAGCAGCTCTTTTTCTGGTGGCAAAGAACTGGAAATTGAGAGGATGCCCATCAATTGGGGAATGGCTGAACAAGTTGTGGTATATGAATGTAATGGAATACTATTGTACTATAAGAAATGATGAACAGGCTGACTTTAGAAAAACCTGGAAAGACTTGCATGGTCTGATGTTGAGTGAAGTGAGCAGAACCAGGAGAACATTGTACACAATAACAGCCATGTTGTACGATGACTAATATTGATAGACTTAACCCTTCTCAGCAATACAAGGATCTAAGACATCTCCAAAGAACTCATGATGGAAAATGCTATCCACAAAGAAGACGAAACTATGGAGTTTGAATGCAGATCGAAGCATACTATTTGCTATTTTTTTTTCTTCTGTTGTGCTTTGTTTCCTCTTCCTGGTTGTTCCTTATTTGGCTCTAATTCTTACAACAACATTAATGTGAAAATATGTTTAATAGGAATGTATATGTATAGCCTACATCAGATTACACTCTGTCTTGGGGAAGGAGGTGGGGAGGGAGGGGGAGAGAAATTTAAAACTCAAAAGCTTATGGAAGTGATTGTTGATAATTCAAAATAAATTAATTTTTTAAAAAAAGCCTTTCCCAGTACTCCTTAATCTTAGTACCTTTCAATCAGGATTATCTTCAATTTATCATGTATATATCTTGTTTATAGTTGTTTGCCTGTTATCTCATACATTAGTCTATAAGTTCCTTGAGAATAACTGTTTTTTGTAACTCCAGTGCTTAGTGTAGTGCCTGATACGTAGAAGCTAATAAATGTTTGTTGACTTGTTGACTTAAATTGAATATGTTAATTATGGCTTTAAGTAGCTGAAAGATTATGATGTGGAAGAAGGTCTAGATTTGTTCTATTTGGTTCCAAAGGGAAAACCTAGGAACAATGAGTGGAAGGTGAAGAGAGGCAAATTCGGTTGGATGTGCTGATAACTTCCTAATACAGAGGTTCAAATATAGAAAGGGCTGTCTCAGCAAGAAGCAGCCTTTTTTCCATTGGAAATTTTATTGTTTTTCTTTTTTTTTTTTTGGCTAGGCAATGGTGTTAAGTGACTTGCTCAGGGTCACACAGCTAATAAGTGTTATGTGTCTGAGGCTGGATTTGAACTCAGGTCTTCCCGAATCCAGGGCCGATGCTCTATCCACTGTACCACCTAGCTGCCCCTCCACTGGAAATTTTAAAGCACAGACCTGATGACTACATTCTAGTCACTGTTCTTCAATTCCCAAACAAAACCAAATACCTTAAGCAATATTTTGAAATTGCCCCTCTTCTCAAATTCTAATGAATAAATTAAATTGGTAATATGAACAAATATTCTCAGGACATTTCTTATAAATACTAATGAATAACTTGCACCCTAAAAAGAAATGGTTCACAATAAAAACTACTCAAAGATTTCTCAAAAAAAAGTAATTAGTACTCCTATTCCCTTTATTCTAGACATACTTTGTAAATCCTGAGAGTAGGAAATGGTTAGAAAAAGAATTTATTACTCTTATCTTTTAATAAAGATTATTAAATGAAGACATGGTTGTGAAATGCAGAACTATGTCAAATTAAAGGCAACATAAAGAACACTTGATGTGAATGACATCACAGGTCTAGACTCTCCCAAACATCCCATGACAAAATAAAGAAAAAAATGTAATTCTTTAAAAACCTTTTCCTCAAATGAAAAACAAAACCCTAAACATTAATTTTAAAATCATACCTAAAAATTTTCAATACTTTTCTTCTTAATTAATTCTGATGTGTTCAGACTTCATCAGTTTTATTCTGTATCCTTTATCACTATAAAGTAACCAAGATGCAGCAGTACACCACAATTATACAATGTTGAATAAAAAAAGATTAGGAGACATGTGAAAAGGATTAGGAATTGGATTAAAGAGATTTACTTGATTACTTATGTCCCACTACATCAACTTGCCCCAAAAAGTAATTAATATGTAAGTACTCCATGAGGGACCATGTTAATAGATGGATTTCAGTAAAGTGTTTCCTGGGAGATTATTTCTCTATCAATAATGTCTGCATTTTTTCAAAGTTATCATATTACAAATTTTGGCCCTCTCTTATAAGAGGTGCAACTGATCAATATGAAATCAAATCTTAAATCAATAATAAAGAGTTAAAACAGTTTTTAGAACATAACAGTTAATATCTCAATCTTTATTCTGATCCCCAGGTCCATTACCTAGTCTAACTGACTAATGAATGAAAACAAGGAGAAGAGAGACAAAAGATTGGAGGAAACCAAATGAAATTTTTTGCCAACTTTGAGCTGCATATGATGTTTATTTTCTAAAAGAAACTAATGGCTCCATATGAACACAGGTTAATGCCTAAAATTTCACATATATTATTAGAGATTGTGTTGAAGGAATTGGGATCTATGCTTATTCTCCCCAAATTTAGCACAGCTTATGAACTATGTAACCATAATAATCGATTCATCCTAATAGGAATAAAAGAGATGAATGGTAAATTGAACTAAATCTAAAGTAGGGCACATGAAATAAAAATAAAAATTTTTTCTGGAGTAATTATGTAACCTTCTAAATACTGGATCTGTTAGTCACATTAACATGAATTCATGAATATTTATCAATAGTCAAGAATGCCTAGGATGGTAAGGGAACTTGACATAGTGTATAATGAGGTTTAATCTGGAAAAGAGAAGATTTAGCATGAACATAATAAATGTCTTGAAATAGGGTTATTTTGCAGAAAATAAATTAAAATTACTCTGCTTAGAGTACATAACTAGAAAAAGCTTCAGAAAAGCAAATTCAATGAAGAAAAATTTCCTAACAATCAGATGGTACAAAGGTAAAATGTGCTGCCTGGGGGGATAGTGATTCTACCTCAGTGAAAGTCTTCAAGAAGAACCTGGATGATCACTTTTCAGGAATGTCTTAGAGATGATTACTATTTAATAATAGATCATACTAGTTTCTAAGGTCCCTACAAAGCAGAATGGGAATTAGAAAGATTATTAATCTTTTACATAAGAATATCCAGTATCAAAATAATGGCATTATGCTATTTTTATCTTTTTGTACAATTACTGTATAAAATCCAGTGTTACTTAAAAAAATAGCTATTTTATTAAGCATTATTTTAGTGTATTTGACTCAATGGATTCAGGCTATTTGTCACACAATTGACCTGGATAAAAACAGGAATTTATCAGTCTATAAGAGTTTACATAGGTCCTATACAACATAAATATCAATGAAGCTCTATAACAAAATAAATAAAAATCATGTATGCCCATAAACCATTAAAGCTTAATGAGTTCAGGCCCACTAATATCCTTTAAATCCTTTTATACAAATCACCGAAGTATTTGATAAATCCCAAAGACAACAAATGCCTAAACATTATTTGCCCCAATGTTCAACAAGAAAACATAAGGGAATTGATCTTCAACATTAATAACCCAGCTTTCATTTTTCTCACAGCTTAAGAAAGTTAAAATTTTGTCTTCAAAAATGGATAGTTATTAAAACAATATATTCTGTTTAAATTAAAGAAAAACTAAATAATTCAAAGATTATATAAATACAAACATGATTATACACCATTTATACTTTTTTTTATTTTTAAGGTTTTTTTGCAGTTATCAAAGCAATCACCTTTCTCAATGTCAACTTACCTAAGTTGTTTTGCATAGCTGATTTCAATCTCTGTCCGTTCCTTGACAAATTTGATGTATTTCTCTAGAATATCAATTCCCCACTGTGTGTGTTTTTCTAAGTTGTCAAATTGATCCTGTTAAAAACCAAAGAGACAGTTTAGAGTTTGTTCTGTTTGGGCAGAACTTAAAATAATAATTTCCACAACACTAGTACTGTACAAAAAGTATTACTATATTTTCTGTGATTTTAGGTAGGTACTTAGTGAACTATTTAAAATTAGCATTACCAAATTTTATTTGAGAGCTGCCTTGTTCATAACACATATTCCAATGGGAATTTGTCACACATAATTTCTTTGGACGTTGCCATAAGATCTTGATGGTAAAAAAAAAATTTTTTTAATTCCCATTAATTCAAAATCACCCTAATACTTACCACTCCAATACTAATCTGAGTGGTGTTTCAAATAAGTGTCTGGAATTGGTGATAGTACTCTTAGAATTAAAGCTAAATTATGTTTTTCAAAAGGAGTTATTTAGTAAAACCCTTTGCAAGACATATTATTTCCTCACTAATTGTTGCTAATGTTATGCTTAACACATTATTGCAAATAGTAAGGATAATATCACTCAATGACCAAATTAATTCTCTTGCTTACTCTTTAAACACAAAGTTAAAGACGTTTTTTGTCCAAATTGTTCCTTGATCAGGTATTGTATCAAAGCGTTAACTGAAATTGACTAGGCCTAAGGCTGTCAAATCCAAACATAAGTAAATCCTGAACAATTCCCATTCTTATAGGAATAAAAGTAAAAGCTCTAACCTTATGCTATTTAAAAAGAAAAGGCTTGCTAATGAAATTCCTGTTAAGAAGACTGAAGAACTACATAAGCTACTTAGAGGGGGGGAAACCCCAATCAAACAATTATATAATCAATTATAATTATTCTTATTTCTTTATTATAGCAAATACCATAGTTATCATATTAATTAAGAACTCTGAATAATTCCCACCCCTTCTCCCTTTTCCATTTTTAGTAAGTAACAAATTCCCTCCTCCAGCATAAAGCTTCTCTTCCTCCTCTAGGCCTCCCTGATACTAGCTTTAAAGGTTTGATAAATCTGGTAAAAATTCATACTACATTTACAAAGTCTTCAAAGATAAAAGAACAAGAGAAATTACATTGTAGAAGTTCCTGGGAATACCCCAAATTCACTGCTGTACTGACATCAATTCATCTGCATATTTCTTCCTAGCTATCATATTAGCATTCATTTTCTCTTTAGACTTAGGGTATACAATATAAAGAACTATGTCTGTTAGTTATGGTACTCAAAATTATTATTTTTGAAGATATCTATCTACATTCAGACTAAGTCTAACTTGAATATTGCTGGTACTAAATCAACAATGTGTTTTCAATAAAGTTATCTTGGCTCATGAGCTAAGAGATATTCTAAAACGAAGCTTGAAGTAAAACTGATCTTTATATTATAAATTTTATCCAGAAAAAGAAATACTTCCAAAGTTATATTTTAAAAATTCTATGCTTAATTCCAAAAGACTCATGATGAAAAATGTTATCCACATCCAGAGAAAGAACTGATGGATTCTGAATGCAGATCAAAGTATACTATTTTCACTTTCTTTTTTATGTATTTTTTTCTTTTTGTTCTGTTTCTTCTTTCATAATATGACTAATATGGAAATATGCTATATAAGATTGCACATATATCACCCATATTAAATTGCTAACTGTCTTAGGGAAGAAGAGGGAGAAAATTTGGAACTCAAAATTTTATTAAAATGTGAAAAATTATTTTACATAAAATTGGAAAAAATAATATTTAAAAGAAAAAATAAAGTTTGAAAGGACCTTTAATATTTAAAAAAAAATCTATACTTTAGAAAAATATCCCTGTCAAATCTATTGGTAAAGGAAAAGGTCATGACCAAACAAGAGATAAGATCATGGGAGGTAAAATGGACAATTTTGATTACATGAAATTAAAAAGCTTTTGCACAAACAAAATCAATACAGCCAAAATAGGAAGGAAAAGCAGGAAACAGGGTGGGGAGGAATTTATGGCAAGTTTCTGTGATAAAGGCCTCACTTTTCAACTATATAGGGAACTGAGCCAAATTTATAAAAAAAATAAAAGCGATTCTCCAGTGGATAGACACAGATAATCAAAGGATATAAAGAGGCAGTTTTCAGAAGAAGACATCAATGCTATCAATTGTTATATTAAAAATACTCTAAATCACCATTGATTAGAGAAATTCAATTTGAAATAACTTTGAGGTACCACCTCATATTCAGAGATTGGCTAACTTGAAAGAAAAGGAAAATGGCAAATGCTGGAAGAGATGTGGAAAAATAGGTAAACTAATACACTGCTGGTGGAAATGTTAACTGGTCCAACTATTCTGGAGAACAATTTGGAACTATGCCCAAAGCTTACTGCCTATTTCCTACTTTCCTTCATAGTTTATCAAAAGTATCAATTCCTATGTGACAACTTTACTGATCCCTCAGCTGCTAGTGCATCCCCATGTCAAAATTATTTTGTACTTAATATGCATGCATTTGGCATTTCTTTAGACTTATATATGTGATTTCCCCTGGAAGAATGTAAGCTCCTTGATGGCAGAGACTGTTCCATTTTTTTTCTTTTTTTTTTTATATCTTTATACATATTTTGTCTTGCCTGGCACATAGAAAGCACTTTAAAAATGCTTGATTGATGACAAACATTTCTTCAGAAATGTACTTACCCAGAAAAAGTCCTACTTCAAGAAAAATAATAGTAAATTCATAAACAGATGTGAAACAATGACCCAATAGAATTAAGTTGCTTGTGGTAAGGACTGTTTTGTTTTTGTCTCTATATTTCCATGGTGTAATAAATTATAGATGTTAAATGTTAAAATGACAGCTGTAAAATAGACAAGCAGATTCCAAAAGGAGTTACTGGCAGGCTAGATTGTGCAGTGGATATAGCACTGGGCCTAGAGTCAAGAAGACCTGAGTTCAAATCCAGTCTTAAAACAAAATTACAAGCTGCGTGACTCTAGGCAAGTCACTTAACCTCTGTTTGCCTTAGTTTCCTCAACTGACAAATGAATATAATTTTACTGTCCACCTTAAAGGGATGCTGTGAAGACAACATGAGATAGTATTTGTAAAAAGTGCTTAGCAAAGTATCTGGCACATAGTTGGTGCTAAGTCAATGCAAAAGATAATTTCTAAGTTGCAATCTGATTTTCTTTCTAGATCTTCCTGAAAATCCTGTTTTTCTTTTGGCACTGTTCTTAAAGGCCAGACCAAGGAAAAGTTCACCAAAGAACACACACCTATGTCTCCCCTATCCTCAAAAAACCTCTCATTTCATCCATCCATCACCACTAGCTATCATCCTACATCTCTCCTCCCTTTTGTGGCTAACCTCCTTGAGAAGGCAATCTACAATTGGTGCCTCCATTTCCTTTCCTCTCTTTTCTTAACTCTCTACTTCTGACTTCATCCTTCAACTGAAAACAGCTATCTCCAAAGTGACCAATAATCGATTAATTACCAAATCTAATGTCTTTTTCTCAGTCTTCATCCTTCTTGACTTCTTTGTAGCTTTTCACATTGTTAGTTACTTTTTTCTCCTTGATCTTCTCTTCTCCCTAGGTTTTCTTGCCACTGCTCTTTCCTGGTTATCTTTCCTTGTCTAAGTGGTTCTTCTCATTCTCTACTGCTGGATCTTCGTCCAGGTGATATCCAACTACTATGAGTGAACCCCAATGCTCTGTCCTGGGCCCTCTTCTTTTCTATTATTTTACTTGATTTCATCATTTCCCATGGATTCCATTAACATCTCTATGCTGATGATTTTCATATCTACTTATCCAGACAGCCCTAAAATCTCTTACCTCTCCAACTGTCTATTAAACATCTTGATTTGAATATCCCACAGACATTTTAAACTCAATATGTACCCTACAAACTCTCTCCTCTTCCTAACTTCACAATTACTGTTGAGAACCACCACCTTGGTCACACAAGTTTACAACATAGGTGCCACCCTTGATTTCTCACTCTTTCACCTCCCCACCACCGCAATATCCAATCAGTTCCAAGTCTTGTTGTTTCTACCTTTACAACATCTGTCTCCTTTTCTCTTCTGACACTGTCACTACCCTGGCATAAGTGACTAGAAAGGAATGGAGGAGGAAAATATTCAGAAATGAAAGTAATGTCAAAACAAAAGACATCAATAAAATAACAAAAGACATCAGTAAAAATAAGTTGTTTTTTTTTTAACTTGCAAACTTTACCATTCTGTTAAGAAAAGGAAAGTATGAGTTTTACTGCGGTGGTTTCTCTCCTGTATCACATTCACTTAGTAACAAATCCTTAAAGAGGAGAGATGATTGAGGGATTTACCCCAGGGTAGTGAAATTCAGAGAGGCTCAGAAAAAAATTGTATTTTATTAGAGAGAAGTAATTGAGCTTCATCTAATTAGTAAGAATAGTAGTTAAAACAGAAAAATACCAAACCATGCCCCAGGATAATTCCTGCCTGGCTGGTCCTATCTTTTCCTCTTCCTAGAAGTGGCCTCTAATTCCAGAGAGCTCTTTCTTCCCATGGGACTTCCTCTATCCCAATACTAAATTTATTTAAAATTTATTTGAGAACACCTTTTATGCTGCTTGCCCCAGGACACATTCGGCTGTACTTGTCCTAAATATCAGAACTGCTACGCTTAGTTACAATTCTGCTTTGGGAGGTAAACTGATGTTTTTTTCCTAAGTCATTGGTAGGGCAGAGGGGGAATGTGTTAATTCTACCCTTTGCTACATGGTACTATCATTACCACTAAGGTACTCTGGCTAATATTCTTCAACACATTAAATTACTACTATCACTAATACCAGGAAATGGAAAGTTAATGAATGGCTAGCTTTTTCAAACAGAATCTATGAATTCAGAATGGAAAAGAAACATAGCCTCAAACATAGACTCATAACTCAACATAAGAGTGAGAAGGGATCTAAGAGGCCATCTAGGTCAATCTTGTCATTCTGTAGGTAAGGAAACTAGGCTCAATGAGGTTAAATGACTTGACCAGGGTTATATAAGTAGTAATGATGCAATTAAAACTAGAACCAAAGTCCTCTGGTTCCAAATATAGCACAATATTCTTTGCACTATGACGATGAGAGAAGTCTCAAGCATTATAAAATGTCTCTCCTATACTTTGAAGTCACCAGAATTAAAAAATATAGTAAGCTAACATTATAAGGATTTATAATAAGCTTTTAAATATTGAACATTATAGTAGAACTTGGAACCTAACAAACAACATCTGGCAATAGTTGGGTACCTGAAGTTATTTTTTTTTAAATAAACCATTTCATCAATGCTTTTCTGTCTTTACAACAGTTTTGTCCACCCCATCTCCACAACAAAACCCTACCATAGGACCCACCAAAAATTTTCCAAGATTTCAGCAGAACTGAAAGCCTATATTTAATATATATAGATAAATTATGAACTCATGTCGTGCACTGTAGTAATAGCAGGAATGCCTATTTTAAAAAAGCCTTGGCTCATTTTTTAAACTTAATTTATTTTAATTTATCAACAATCACTTCCATAAGCTTTTCAGTTTTAAATTTTTCTCCCCCTTCCTCTCTGCTTCCCTCCCCAAGATGGTATGCAATCTGATATAGGCTATACATATACATTCCTATTAAACATTCTTTTTTTTAAAAAAGAGATCATTCATATTTGCTTTGGAGGAATTCAATTTAACAAATACTTATTGAATACCAATATATGAACAAACTTCCAAAGACAAAAGGCAAAGTGTAATGATATATGAAGATAGAGCAGATCATATAAGCAAAGAAAAGTTATATGATTCAGTCTCATGAGAATCACAAACACATCACCTTTATCTTGAGAATGTAAATATATCAAATTTCAGAAAAGCCTAATACTCACTTGTGATCTTTCCACAGGAGTTGTGTAAATGGACCATTCCATAGGTAAAACTAGCTTAGGTAAGCAGGAACCCATGATACAACTTGGCAAATAAAGAGTAAAAAGTGTTAACAGTACACTTGTTGAATAGACAAGTCATTACAGAGAATTTTATGAAAAAGAAAGCATAGAAGGAAGCAATAATGTTGACAGCAGAGAATTGCTCTAAATGCTCATCTTGCCTAAAAGACACACATATATTATATTTACTTGTTCTGCCTATAAAATTTGCTTTTGTTATGACAATGGGAATTCAGATGAAATGTTATACTATCGATATGTATTTAATTTTTTCAACAAATTGCATTTCAAACACGTCACTAATGTAAATATACACCTTGACATTTATAAGCATAAACAAGACAGAAAAACATACCTGAGTTGAGTTTTAGAAGAAGACAAGACATACAGAAAAGGAAAAACATACAGAAAGTTGAAATTTGCACAGCAGTCCTGTCTTTGAATGATGATAGAATACAGAAAGGGCAGTAAGGAGGTTGGTATTAGATATGCAACAAACAAGAAGGGTAGAGAAAGTGGCAAATTGAAAGTCTTAGAAAAAGCATGTGAGGCTTAGCAAAATGCAATGCAATTTTGTATCAGTTGGTAAAATGAAAAGTGAGCCAATGGCACTAAATATACTGTGAGAAAAAGCTCTGGCATTTTGATTGTGCCAGTTTTGAACAAAGAGCATTTGGTGAGGACATGTCAGCAGACCCCACAACGATATGAAGGATTCACAATGACAACCAATGTGCTATAGATGTTTATAGCTTTTTCAGTTCCCTCTATGGCTCCTTTAAATTACCATAAATTATATTAAACATGCTAACTACAACAAATGATTTAAGGAAAAAATGTATCATTGGGAAAAATTATTCTTAATAATGTCACTGTCAAAAGCTTGTTATTCTGAAAAATTTTAGTCAGTATTTCACACTTAAAGGTAGACAGATGCCTCTTTAGAAGTTGTCTCAATTGTAATGAAGCATGGAAAAACTAGTCAGGAAAAGCAAAAACATTTTCTACTCAATTTTGCATAAATACAAGAATTAATTGTTTTTCCAAGAGTCCTAGTCAAAGTACTCTGCAGGAACTTTAAGAAGCAAGATGTAATTCTTGGCTGCAAGTTATGATAACATCTGTGAAACATCTTCAACATGGAAGTGTAAGTTATTTGTTTATTTCCTGGGTTCACAATGAATGCTGCCGGAATGTGTCTGTACATTTTCCCCAGTCTGCTTAATGAGCACAATCAAAGGTTCAGTCTGCTTTCCTCCCCCAAATGCTCTGAATTCTTTAAAAAAAAAAATTAGAGTTATGCCTCATACATCCCACACTAATTTCTGATGGTATTTCCCTCCCCTACAAATCATGTTCCAGCCTAACAATAAGAAAAAGAAACCAACACAGAAAAACACAGAGAGCAAGACAGAGTAGGCAAAAAAAGATAATGTTATGAAGACCAAGCTTAGAGGACAAGCATCTTTATTTCAAAAGGGCAAAAGAGGGCAGGGGAAAAGGTCAACAAAGTCAGGATTCAATTTAACAATCCTTTAGTAAATGACTACTATGTTTAAGGCACCATAGCTGGTTTTGGAGATAGAGAGACAAAACCAAGAAAGTCCTACCCTCAAGTAGCCTAAATTTTACTGAGGGTAGAGCACAAAATGTACAGATAAGTAAATACAAAATTAAATACAAAGTAATCTCAAGAGGGAGGATACTAAAAAGGAGGGGAGGGGTGGAGAAAAGGGTTAAAGAAAGGCCTTGTATAAGACCTGACATCTGAGTTGTTCTTTGAAGGAAACTGAGAAGTGGCGATGACAAGAAAGGGCATTTCGGACATGAAGGACCACATGAGTAAAAGGAAATAGCTAGCAAGTGAGTTTGGTTACAATAAAGGTTATATGTTTATAAGAATAGAGGAAATATAACTGGAAAAGTAAGTGGGAGGCACATCAAAAGGGTTTTAAATGGCAGATAGAACCTTTGTATTTTACCCTAGGCACAAATATGCAGGACAGAGTGGAAGAGGGAGGGGCTGGAAGCAGCAAGATCAAATAGGAGGGTATTGCAAGAGTTCAAATAAGAAATAATTTGGGCCTGAACTAGTCTAGAAGTTGAGTGAAGACAGGGGTAGGGATGCAAGAGGTATTGTGGAAGAAACAGACAAGACTTGGTCATAGGTAAGATGTGAAATGTGTGAATGCACGTAATGGGAAAGGGAGGCTGGAACCAGGTTATGAAGGGCCTTAAATGCCAAAAAAAGGAGTCTGTATTTGATCCCAGCATTAAACCACTGTTGTTTACTGAAAAGCAACCACATGACCAGCCAGACCTTTGCTTTAGGAATCTCATTTTAAAAGTTGTGTAAATGGGAAAGGGGAGAGATTTAAGGCAAAGAAAACAATATATGTATGTGCATGTGTGTATGTATACATACATATATTTGTTTATTATATATATATATGAGACATATAAATCTATATATAAGAGACTGAGAGGGAGAAAGAGAGATCAGATAAGAGAAAGTTAGTGCAATAGTGTGCACAAGAAGTAGTCTAAGTCAGCAGAGAGGGGTGTGTGTGATAAAATTGGCAACTGAATGGATGTGTGGTGAACACAGGCGAGAAGTCAATGAAACTTGTGAATGTGGATGTCAAGACAAACTTGTCATTGATAGAAATAGCAAGGTTTGGAAGAAGAGTGCATTTGGGAGTAGGGGGAAATAATGAGTTGTTTTAGAAATATTTAAAGTTGAGATGCCTACAGTGCACTAACTTTGAAAGGTCCAAAGGGAAGTTGGTGATGTGGGACTGAAGATCAAGAGAGAGAACAGGGCTGTATCTATAGATCTGAAAGTCATCAGCATAGATAAGTTCATTAAATTCATGGAAGTTGAAAAGGAGAAGAGAAAAGTGAGAAGATGGTTTAGAATAGAGCTTCAGAGTATACCTATAGGGGGGCAGCTAGATGGCACAGTGGATAGAGCACTGGCCCTGGATTCAGGAGAGCCTGAGTTCAAATCCAGCCTCAGACACATAACACTTACTAGCTGTGTGACCCTGGGCAAGTCACTTAACCTCCATTACCCAACCAAAAACAAAATCAGAGTATACCAATAGATAATGGGACACAATATGAATGCTGATGCAGCAAAGGAAACTAAGCAGGAGCAGCCAAGACAGGTAGGAAGACAAAGATGGACCACTGTCGAGGAAATCCTGAAAACAAAAATGATGAGGAATGAAAAGACACCATCAGATTTAAAAATTGAGAGATCACTGGTAACTTTGGAGTGGACAGTTTCAGTTGAGTGATTCATCTGGAAGCCAGATAGTAAGGAATTGAGAAGTGACTGAGAGGTGAAGTGGTGGCAATAAGAATGATGGCTTTTTCTAGAAGTCTGGCTATAAAAGGGAAGAGAAAGACATATAAGAGAGGTAGCCTGAGTGATGTCAAGTGGGCTTTTTTTTTTTAAATGGGGAAAACCAGAGTATGTTATGTAGGCACAAGGAAAGGACAGAGAAAGACTGAAGATTAGAGAAGGGAAGAGATGATTGTAATGGCAACCTGTTGGGGGAAATTAGATCAAGAGTATATGAGGTAGCAGCTCTTTTTGTGGTGGCAAAGAATTGGAAATTGAGAGGATGCCCATCAATTGGGGAATGGCTGAACAAGTTGTGGTATATGAATGTAATGGAATACTATTGTGCTATAAGCAATGATGAACAGGCTGACTTCAGAAAAACCTGGAAAGACTTGGATGATCTGATGCTGAGTGAAATGAGGAGAACCAAGACAATGTTGTGTACAATAACAGCCACGCTGTGCGATGACTTAATATTGATAAACTTAACCCTTCCCAGCAATACAAGGATCTAAGACATCTCCAGAGGCCTCGTGATGGAAAATGCTATCCACATCCAAAGAAAGAACTATGAAAGTTAAATTGCTATTTTTTTTCTCTTCTGTTGAGTTTTATTTCCTCTTTCTGATGGTTCCTCCTATTGGTTTTAATTTTTACTTACAACACCACTAATGTGAAAATACGTTTAATAGGAATGTAAATGTATAGCCTATATCAGATTGTGCGTCGTCTTGTGGAGGGTGGTGGGGAAGAAGGGGGAGAAAAGTTTTAAACTCAAAAGCATATGGAAATGATTATTGATAAATCAAAATAAATAAAATTTTTTAAAAAGGAGAGTATATATGAGGGGCAGCTCAGTGGCACAGTAGATAGAGCACTGGCCTTGCAGTCAGGAGGACCTAAGTTCAAATCCGACTTCAGACACTTGGCACTTACTAGCTGTGTGACCCTGGACAAGTCACTTAACCCCATTGCCTAGCCAAAAAACTATATATGGAAGGAAACAATACCAAATAATTGTATTCATTCCACATGCCAGCAAGGTTATACTTAAGATTCTGCAAACTAGGCTTCAGCAATATGTTAACTGAGAATTACCAGAAGAGCAAGCTGGGTTTTTCTTTTCTTTTTTTTCCTACTGTCTTGCTTTTTTAGTTTTTTAATAATTGTTTAATTATTTTTTTGGTTACATTTTAAGTTCCAAACTGTCTCCCTTCCTCCCTCCCCACCTCATACTAGAGAAGGCCACCATTTGACACAGACAGACACAGACACACACATAGACACACACACACACACACACACACACACACTATGCACACTTCTTTTTATCAGTTCTTTCTCTAGATGTGAACAGCATTTTCCTTCATAGGTCACTTGTAGTTGATTTGAATATTTATAATATTCAGAAAAACTTAGTCATTCAGTTATTCTTTGAATAATATTGCTGTTACTATATACAATGTTTTCTTGGTTTATTATTTCTTTCCATATTTTTCTAAAATCAACCAGCTCATTATTTGTTATAGCACATCACAATCATATACCACAAATTATTTTAGCCATTATCTAATAGATCAGCATCCCCTCAATTTCCAATTCTTTGCCACCACAAAGAGTTGCTATAAATATTCTAGAATATATAGGTTCTTTTCCTTTTTCCCTGATCA